CTCCTTTGCCTTGATGCTGCTTCCAAACTTTCTTCCAAATTCTTGAGCATATAGGAGGGTGTGAAATTTTCACCTTACAAATTAGCCTCCTTTTCATTCCTGTCTTGCTCACTGATCAGCTCCTCTTCTTTGCTGTTGAGAAAGGCAGGTCTACAAGTTTTGATACCTGTTGGCTGAGACCACGTTCTTCCAAAAATATTCTGACTAGACTTTTGCCTGTACCTAACGGTTTGGACATGATGATCTTAAATGTCTTCTCCAAGAGGAAAGGTTAGGTAGAAAAGATTCTTGAAAAATAATGGGTCACAAACCATTATCAGCAGTAAAACTATCACCCAGTCTCAGCTGAGAATACTTTATGTTGACCGACTAAAGTACTGTGTGAAATGAATTGATTTCAGCTCCACTTACAGAGCACAGCACTGTGCAGCACAGTTGGCACCTTAGGATAAGTTCAAATTAAAAACTACAGAACAGGGTGAATGTGAACAGTGTGTTATAAACTCGCTACAGAAGACGTTTGCTGTAGGTCAGCCAAGGAACACACTTGTGAAGGTGGCCTTGCAGCAAGAGCCCGCCTGGTCTGGAAATTAGATGCCTGAGTCTCCCAGTGTGGCTTGTCCTTCAATGTCCCTGGCACTGCCTGTTTCCAAAATGAGGAAAAAAGTGTCAAGACTTGAATAAATTTTGGAGGCAGGGCAGGATTGTGTTGGTCTTGCGTTGTCCGTAGGTTCACACAGGAAACAATGGCATCTGAAGGAGAGAGCACGCATGGGTTGAAGTATTTTCGCTTTAAAGGGGGAAGGGTAGAATTGTAAACATATGTCTGTGATCTGAGGAGAAATCCTTGAACCTGTTACTGTCATGCAAGCCGCAGTTGTTTGTGGAGTGTGACTGATGTCCAGTAGAATGTAAAATATCTTGAGCTGAAAGGCCTTGGGGATATCATTAGAAAATGTCAGTGTCCCCCTCAGGATAGTCAGATAGCATGTCAAGTGTCACTTTGCCTGATAGTAAAGAAACTTTTCCTTTGCATCAAAGGAGAGCTGTTGAAAATGCATTTTTCAGGATTAACTCAGAACATAAAATGTAATGAGCGTGCTTGCTGCATTAGGTCATTTACTTGGGTATCTGGTTAGCGGAATGGGCAGCCTTTTTAACAAAGGAGGTGTATTGGTATCTCACAGTCTTCTAGGGCACTGAATATATTGGTCGAAATAACCTAGCTCCTCACCTTTTTAAAAGCCTTTCTTCGCAATGAATCTCTTGCCTGAAAAACACCAGCCCAGCACATTGCAAATTAAAGATTTTTCACTCTGCCTGGTTTTGGAGCTGTACTTTGTACACAGTGTTATTTGATCATGCTTGCCACAGGCTTCCCAGACATCAAAGCGCAGTTTGAGATAGAACTCGGTACCCCACTGTAAGACTAGCTAGATCCCTACCTGTTTGCTTGGGGATTATATGATTTATTTTATTTTCTGAATTGCTGTTTTACCCCCCGCAGGGGCTGCCTTCTGTGCATCCTGTCCGTGTTCAACCATGGCTCCTTACAGCCTGGTTATCAGAGAGGCAGGGCTCCTTACGCCCTGCTAAAACCTGCCTCCTCCTGGGGAACATTCAGGCAGCGTCTTCATCGCTTTCCTAGGAAGACTGCTCAGACAATATTATTACTGTTTTTTAAAAATATTGTTGTGTTCCTTGGGTGCATTCGAGTGTAATGTTTCATAGTGGATAATAACAGCACCTCAGTGCTGTGTGAATATTAAAAGAGGCTCATGTGTCTCAGTTAGGCAAGGGGATTAATGCAAAAATGCATTTTTAAGAGCAGAGCTATGATGTGGAACCACATACAGACTGGTGTCAGATGAGCTGATCTGGCCTTTCCCAAGCTGTGGGTTAGAAAAGTGGCGTGTCCTGTGTCTGTGCTCCGCTGCTGAGAGTTTACCAAACGAGCAATAGACTTCTCTGAAATACGCTGGGTCTCCTCCCTTGCCACCTTGCAGTCTGGTGAAGAAGAGAGGAGTAAATCTAGAGGGGGAGGAGGAGATGGCCGCATGATAGCTCTGCAGTTGATCGCTAGAATCCCTCCTTTCCTTCTGGAGAGGTGGGTGAGGATGATTGTGCATTTGTGGATTAAGTGTAACAAAGTGAAGAAAAACACACCTTAATCCTATTTCTCTCTTTCTTCTCCCTTCACTCCATACTTTTCATTCCCTGTTACTCATACCTTTTTTTTTTTTTAAATATTTTTATTCATCCATGCCCTTTTTTATCTCCATGGGACACTGGTTTGTGCACTCTCTGCTCGTGGGCACCGCACACAGCTCACCCTTTCTTTCTCCAATCAGGATGGCGGCCTAGTGGAAGAGCCCACTACTTCACCATTTTTGCCTTCACCAAGCCTGAAGCTCCCCCTTTCAAACAGTGCACTCCCTAATCAGACCCTGGGCGGGATTGCCTCAGGGCTGGGCATGCAAAACTTGAATTCTTCTAGACAGGTAAGGCTGCTGGGGGAGATCCCAAGCTGAATTTCAGCTCCTTGGACTCGTCACTTCCCCAGGGGAAACAGTGGTTTAAACTGAAAGTGCGTGCAACATCTTTGTTCACGTGACATATCAGTGGTGAAACTGCCTGCTCTGTGAACATTTCACTTTATGGGACATAAACTAGCTGCTTAGTTGTAATTAGCCTGCTAATTACATGCACGCATTGAGCAGAGACTGTAGTGTTACGGATATATACCACTGAACCCTGGTATAGCTCTGCCTTGGTCGACAAGAGGTTTCTTTTTTTGAGGTGTTGCTAATTGTCACGGACACTAAGGCAGGGACACTGCTCTAACTTGTCTTTCCTGACTGGCATAATTATTTAGTGGTGAGATGGGTGAGAAGTGATGGGGGCATTTTTATTCCTTCTGTAAGTGTCAAGACAGCTCATAGCTTTGACAGGTCGTAAGAAAGAAACTGCGCTTCTGGCACCGCTGGTCAAATAGAGCGTTGTGACAAGAGGGGTGTTTTGGCCCCTGGGTAGAACATGCTGAAAGGGAAATAAAAGGGAAGAAAGGGAAAGGAGATGGACGGAAAAATTCACAAACACCACGACACCGAGAGGTCATAAACTACTCTTGGTTACGAAAAGGTTATTTTTGACATGTAAACCGAAGTTCCAGCAAAGATAATAAATAACAACACAGAAAAGCTATATATATCATTCTGTGGTGGCTTTTATTACATATATTCTTTTAAAGTTAGCTTTCTAAAGGCAGTACTTGTGTAGCACTTCCAGGCCACTAAGCATATCGTGGAGAAGCGGAGACTGCACTAACAGCATGTCCATTATCAGTAGCGTTGTAAAGTGACTGAGTACGGAAACTGCCCAGCTGATTTACGGATTGGGATGCTCTGAGTTTAATGACTCCATTCTCCTCTCCCTTGCTACACAGACACAAACATTTTTGGCAAATACTTTTCACTGTTCGTCTTGTGACCCTCTAGGGTTTTGCATCCTTACAAAAGCGATCTTCAAGTTCAGGTACCTTCTTGTTGAGGCGTCTGTACAACATTTGGGATGCTGGGTACGTGGCGATCTTTGCCATGCCCAATTCTAAACCTGCCTGTCAATACAGACTGTATACACTGGTTTCCTTATCCGTGCTTGTCGTAATCACTGAGGATAAAGACTGCACAGATAAACAATTTGCAGGTTATATGTTGAGTGATGTCTTTAAATGCCAGTGTCTTTCTTGTCCTGCTGTAGATACCGAGTGGCAATCTGGGTATGTTTGGCAATAGCGGAGCAGCACAAGCCAGGACCATGCAACAGCCGCAGCAACCGCCAGTGCAACCTCTTAATTCATCCCAGCCTAGTCTTCGTGCTCAAGTGCCTCAGTTTCTATCCCCTCAGGTTAGACAAATTTCCATTCGTGAGCTTTCCCTTTCCCTGGAACTCTTCCGTGTTCGCTCCCGCTCCGTATGCATTCTGTCATGCTCCTGAGGCTTTGCAGCTGCCGTTGCCTGGCTCTTGTCTGTGATATTTATTTACCAGCCAGTTAGCATGTTGCACAGGTAAGGTGCTGCACATGTATGCTCTGTACGTTTTCTGCGTGGGCATGTTCTAGTGTTCCTGAAAAGCTGAGCAACTTGTTCTCAGCTCTTCTTCTATAAATGGACGTTTGAGTATGATTATAAAGATCTGTATTAGAGCCTATTGTTAATTTTTTGATAGTTCATGGTACTAGTTCTGGTAATAGTAATATTTTCCAGCTGATGTCTTGTGACTCATTAATGACTTACACAATTGCCAGTGTTAAAAGTAAATGTACAATGCTTAATACACTGTTTTTCCTTAGGTTCAAGCACAGCTTTTGCAGTTTGCAGCAAAAAACATTGGTCTCAGCCCTGCACAGTTAACCTCGCCAATTAATAATCCTCAGCATATGACGATGTTGAACCAGCTCTATCAGCTGCAGCTGGTAAGTTAAAAGACATGGCAAATAAGCTCTAAATTAGAATTAAAGGCATGAAGATAAATAAAGAGAATGGCTAGCTAAATTTTTTAATGGATGTAGCAGAACTTTTAAACAATTAGATGCTGATTTATTTGGTAGAGTTTCTTTTCAAAGAAATAAAACTATGTGTTTTGCCTCAGGCTTTATAAATAGTCATTTCTGAGATAATTATTCTTTACAGCTGGTCAGTGGAAATAAAAAGTCAGTTGTCTTCTTCGTACTGGCACGAGCAACATAGTATATTCCCAAATAGCACTAATCTGTGTAGTACATGCCAACGTATGCAACTGATTGACCAACTGGGAAACTTGTGTCACGACGTAACAGAAAAGAAATCTTGGCAGTGCTGGTCACCTGAGTTACCTGGAGAACTTCCTTCAGTTGCCTTACTAAATAATAAAGTATAGGGTAAATTTCCTGGAATTAATGGAATGTGTATTAAATGTATTGTGATAAGAAACTGCTTTTCTCTAAAGTGGTGTACTTCTGCTGTATTTGCAAATTTGACATATATATGTGTGTATGAAAACATCTAATTGTATTTTAAGTATATTTTTTAGAGATACTGCTAACAGTAAGTCTGTATTTGCTAGTGTTAAACAAAATCGAGGATGACAAACTAACTTAGTTGCTGATCTCAGTGTGCTAGTCAAACTCATACTGTAACAGTGGTTGATACTATTATTCATTTCTGGTTATGTTTCCTAGTTTTGAGGAGCACCCCATTGATCTCATGCCATGGTAATAATTGAACATGTGAACAGCTACTTGAAAAATATATGTATAGAATTCCTTTGGATTTTATAGTCGCATGTTTCAGAGAAACACATTGGGGGAAAAAAAAACCTTACTGCTCAGTTAACCACATTAAAACTGTGGAAGTTTTCTGGAATAAAGCAACACAACACATTAGATACAAAGTGTTGTCAGAACTCAAAATGGCTAAAGCAAAATCAACTATTGGTATTTATCCCAGTTGTACAAAATACTAAACATCTATTTTAATTTTTGCTTTGTGTTACTTTTTTTTTCAGAAAAATAAGTGAGTTCCTAATGACCACATATTGCTCACAAACTCATCATTTTTTTAACGTAGGTGTTTGGTTTAAAAAAAAAATGTAAATAAAAACGCTGGACTTAAATATATTATAAACTACATTTGTAACAAGATTGTTACTTCTGCTTCATTGACTGTTTTCAGAAAACTCCAATGTTTCTGTCTTTATGATAATGTACCAGAGCAGTTCAGGGAAGCTTGTTCAGCTTATTGTGTATGTTAGGACCTCTGACCTCTCATTCCTATCCTGTAGGCGTACCAACGTTTACAAATCCAGCAGCAGATGTTACAGGCTCAGCGTAATGTTTCCGGACCCATGAGACAACAGGAGCAGCAAGTAGGTTTGCCTGCCACTTCAATCCCTCCATTAGAGTGTGGCTTCAGTAGCTTACAGAGATCATACTACGTTGTACCAAAGCAGCTAAAGCATCCTTAGAAACAGTAGCATAGTGCATGGCTTGAGTACTGAAAAGGAGAGTGCTAGAGTAATAAAGCTGTTTCACAGCATTCGGTTGTTGGCGGAAAGCTCTTCAACCCTTAACACAGTCAATTTTTATTTGTGAAGAGATCTGTTGTCTTATTTCATTGTAAAGAAAAGCACAAGAATTCTAGAGTCTCTTTTGTTCAATTGAGCATTTATTGATTCTTTTTCTTGCCAGGTTGCACGTACAATCAATAACATGCAGCAGCAGATCCAGCAGCACCAGCGCCAGCTGGCCCAGGCCCTGCTTATGAAGCAGCAGCCTCCCCCTCCACATCTATCTTTGCACCCCTCTGCAGGCAAATCAGCCATGGATAGCTTTTCACCCCATCCCCAGGCTCCCGGCCTATCTGACCTGCAGACCAAAGAGCAACAGTCTTCACCGAACACCTTTGCTCCTTACCCTCTTGGTAAGTGCCCTTCATTAAAGCAGTCCCATGTGAAAAAGACACAGGGAGTATATTTCATTAATTCGGAATCTAAATATTTTGCTCCACAGTGTAACACATACAGAAATACCAAAGATAGGTTGACCAGTGTTGAAATGCTGAAACAAATCATGTGCCTGTCTGGTAGCTCATCAGGTGGTCTGTGCTGTGCCTACAAATATCAGAACAGAATATCACAGAAGATTTGCTTAATTAACTATCTACTTATGTTGCTATTTATGAACTAAATATAAATTGACAATGTCATGTTGTAAAATACACCAATGTCAGATTGATGAACAGGAATGTCATCTGGAAGTCATGTCAAGTCATCTTCCCCCTATAATCAACACTGGTAAGGCATCAGTTTTGGTCAGTGTATTTCAAGAAAGATACAGGACATTTTGAAGGAATTCAGAGAGAGTGTTCTGCAGATAATTAGGTGTTTCAGAAACATGGCTTCTAGGGAAAAAAGGAAACCCTCTGCACACTTCAGTCTAAGGAAAAGACTTGAGACACGCAAGAATCTTCAAAAATGTCAACGATAGCTACCAAGTTTTCTTTCATGTGGGAAGGCAAGAGGTAGTAAACTTCTGCATAAAGGGAGATGTAGTTAAACATGAAGGATCACTTCCTCGCTTTAAACAAAGTAGAGTACTGGAATAAACAGTTATCTGGGAGGTTTCTGAAATATTCACCAGTCATTTTGTGGTAGGTTAGACATAGATCTGTCCAGTATAATTGATGTCAAAATAATTGATTCGGCCTTGAGACAGAATGGACAGAACACCCTTTCAGACCTGTTTTCTCTGTGATGGTCTGACGTATGCTACAGACTTCATTTATGACATAAAGGAATTAATTTTCTCTCTTTGTGACTCTCTTTATGCTGTGTACAATAGAACTGCCAAGCTTTATCTACCATGCAGCAGTAAAGAAGGTAATTCCGACTGCTGTGGTGAGCTGTTATAGCAGGGAGCATCCGTAGGCAGAAGAATTTATGTATAAAGGCCTAAGTCTAAGAGGTTCTTATCGTATCTCAGCTTCCGGTGATCTGCTGACGTTCAGGAGTACATATCAAAAAGGATCCAGAGTCATGTCACACAAACCTTTCAGAATTATTCCCTAAATACAGCTTGGGTGATAGTATTCTGTGTATACAAAATAGATGCCCAAATTGTGCAATACCTGCTGTGATGAATAGCAGCTGTTTGTATGGCCTTTTAATTAGTTGCTTTGTTTGGGGTTCTAAAAATGTTGTTAGCAAAATAAAGTGGCAGATATCATGGGGGTGTGCTACTGAGACGTTAGGAGTATTTTGACCTGGCAGTGGCATGCTGCAGATTATTCACTGGTTTAAATGTACCATTCCAGTGCGTTCTTTCGGAATTTGTTTTGTGAAAGGAGTGAAGAAACTGCAGGTAGGAATACTGACAGTTTAAAAATGTTATCCCTACATCTTTCTTTTTTCCTCCTTCTGGCAAAGTGTTAACATTTTCTGAATTCATGGGAGTTACATTGGTGTTCCCATAAAAGCAAAAGTTCTTGACAGCAGGTTGAACATGTTCATAGCAAATTACTACACGTACACACGGATGTTGGAAAATTAGTGTTTCATAATTTCTTTAGCTGGATTTTTAAACACAGTTTTTAATCCCCCAGTATATTGTGGATATCTAATGGCCTATTTCCCCTTAGCTGGACTGAACCCAAACATGAATGTAAATAACATGGACATTACTGGTGGTTTGTCAGTGAAGGACACTTCTCAGTCCCAATCTCGCCTTCCTCAGTGGACACATCCCAACTCAATGGATAATCTGTCTAGTGCTGCTTCTTCGCTTGACCAGAACTCCAGCAAGCACGGTATGTGACGCGTAATCTCTGCGACGGTCTGACTTTTTGAGACCGGAGGCACGTTGCGATTGTCATTTTTCTCATGTTACTGTTTTGGGTACGTGTTTGTATGTGGTTGGTACAAGCGCCCTCTGAGCCTGGGGTATTTCTAGAGATGGTTTCTGCAGTCGCATTCAGCAGTGCACTGAAGTTCTTGCAGCTGTCACTTCCTGCGTGCATTGTTAGAATGGTTTTCTTCCGTTGGCTGAATTCTGTTGCTCAGAACGTGGAGTTCAAGTCAAACAAGCCGTTAGTGTTGGCACAAGTCCCACAAGCTTCCCCTTACTCAAGATCTGTGTGCTTTCAATACAAAGAAACACTGGCTTTCTCCCACAATTTTTCCAATATCATGAACCTCTCATAGCGAGTCCTGTGCAAAGGCATGATGGATTACATAATTACCTACCCTGGGAGTTGGAGCACAAACTTCATGTTTTTCCAGAGGTGGTTGCTAATCTGTTTGAACACCTTTATCCCTAACGCCTTCAGTATCCTGAGTCATTTACTCCTTTATTTCCTGTACCAAGTTTGTTCTGTTAGAACATGGTGCTCTGTTAACTTTATTGTATCCTGGATTTTATTATGAGCAGTGTGAATTATTTCTTTTACAATAGTTTTTTATTCTGCAAGCAGCTGTACTCTTTATGCCAAATAGTTGTTTGATAGTTTGTAGGAACATGAGAATGGCCATTTCAAGTCATCCATCCCGTCAGCAATGGATACCAAGTGAAGGATGAGAAGGGGGCTTGCCTACAGTGATACTGCTTAGTATGCCGTCTCAGCAAATTCTGTTTACTATCAGTGTCATGATTTGAATTACTTAGTCTCTTTTGGCAGTAATGACATCCAAATTTCTTAACTCGAGTGTCTGGATTGTACCAGTGGTGTATTTCCTAGTAAGGCTTCAGAGACTGTTACGCCTTGCTTGCTGTGTTTATATTTTAATTTTCCCTTTTATTTTTGTAATACAGAAAAAGAAAATAAGAAAACAATAGCAGCATAGGGACTGATGAAATTCCGTACCCAAAATTAGTCCCCCTTTTAAACAAAGCCTTTCCATTTCATTCATTACAGGTGCTATACCTGGAGGTTTAAGTATTGGTCCTCCAGGAAAGTCCTCCATTGATGACTCTTACGGCCGGTATGATCTGATTCAAAACAGTGAATCGCCCGCCAGTCCACCTGTAGCTGTTCCTCACAGCTGGTCACGTGCCAAAACCGATAGTGATAAAATCTCCAATGGCTCCAGCATAAACTGGCCACCAGGTAACAAAATAGAAAGCATTCGTGTTAAACTGATGCCCTTAAAATGTGTTGTTGGTTTTACGAATTGAATTCTCATGCCTTCTGGTGTACAGGAACTTCGGAGAATTATGGCCACATACTCTTCTTTTTATTGTCTTTGAAACAGAGTTTCATCCAGGAGTGCCATGGAAAGGACTGCAGAATATTGATCCCGAAAATGACCCTGATGTTACTCCTGGAAGTGTTCCAACTGGGCCTACCATCAACACCACGATACAGGATGTTAATCGCTATCTTCTCAAGAGTGGAGGTAAACACACAAATCACTGTCACATCCCTTTATACTTCCTTTTTCTTTCCAAAAAAGGTTGATATTCTATATTATGGAGGTAGTATATTTTTGCATGTAATCCTCATCTTACAATGCTTCTGCTCTGAACATTCACTGAAAGTCCAGAAATACTTGATTTAAATAGGGGACTAAGAAGCTCCCATTCTCCATGGGAGTGTAAATAATTTTATATTGAGAGGGCTGTGAGACGTAATGTGAACTTCGGTGGTCACTGGAAGTTCTTGTAACGTGTGATACTTTGTTTTCAACGAGACTTCACTCTCCGTACTGACCAACCTCTTACATACCCTTTGTGAAATATCCAGAAGACACAACGAAAGCTCCACAGCTGTTGCTGAGGCAGCTGGCCTGTCACACGAATTGATCGTAGCTGTGTTACAAGACCAATCAGCAAATTAAACAAGAGCTGTTTTATCCCCAAAACCATCAAAGAAAAGGATAAAAATAGGGAATTTACTAGTGAAGTAGTATTTTCCAGCGCCATTTCCATTCCTTTTGTTCTTGCAGTGTTTACTTCATGATTAAAAGGCTGTTCTCTAAAAAAATACACCATTGGGACTGTGCTGCTTGTTAACTAGACGTACTAGAAGTGGCTCAAGGGAGAGGTGGTTTGGTTTAACTGTGATCAGTGTGCCGAAATAGGCAAGTCACCTGCACTCTGTTAGAGCACTCTAATGGGACAGCATAATCGGGACCCGTCAGGATTAAAAATGTGGATTTTATTCCAGTAGTTACATCACTGATAGCTGTGTAGGTTGTAAATCAGAGCTACACGTGCAAGGAGTTTCCAGCTCTGGGCTTGTTAACTTGGGTGAAGGGATGTGAAACCTGAGGGAAAGGAGGCAGGGGTTTGCATTGCCCAGAATGATGTTTGTTGTCTCTTCCCAGAAAGCAATCTTTATGTCAGATGAAACGTGGAGTGTGCGTGTGCACGAGTGATGTTGAACTAACTTCTAATGACACAAATGTACTTCAAGGGACAGGCTACCTGGATGGTTGGAAGTTACAAAAAGAAAATGTAAAGACATCACCCAGTCAAAATTCAGATATGGTGCACCCAGGAAACACTCCCCTTAGGCCAGCAGCCTGACCCTACAGAGCTATACCTGTAAGTTAGATGATACCTACTACAGGTCTTGCTTCGTTATAGGAGCAAAGGATACGCTGGCTCTGTTGGTACATATAATCTGTCTGTGGAATGAAGAAATAATTAACACCTCTTAGAGAGGGGCAGTATAGATTATCTCTGCAGAAGTAAATGGGCCCTCAAGCCAAAACGTTCTGAAAAAAGTGACTGTTGGGTCCCAGGTGTGCTTCCTTATCTCACTAGCTTATATGCATTTATAGTAGTACTGTAAGGGGCAGGGAGTTGGACTCAGTGATCCTTATGGGTCCCTTCCAACCTGACATATTCTATCATTGTATAATACAATTTTTGTTAAAAATGTAGTTGCTGAATCTGTTTATGCTCGTATCATCTAAGTGTTTGCTCGTAGGTAGAACTAGCTCTTAACGTCAGTGCCCCTCCACATGAGATTGGGGCTTTCACGATAGGCTTCTGGGAGGAGACCGCCTTTGAATACTGCAGCCCGAAGTACACGGATGGTGCTGGCCAAGCTGAAGTCCGTTTAGAGGGCTAGATGGTGGTGTGTACCATCCTTGCGCTGTACACTTAGAAGGAGGCAAAAACTAAGCTTTTGGGTTGTTTTTTGTTTTACCCTGTTTGCTGCTGCTGTGAGCCAGGGTCAGCTGCTGTGAGCTGAAAGTCTTAGACACATGGAATCAGGAACAATTACAGCTCTGTGGGCATACGAGCCTTTAACAGAATTCCCTCACTCCGGCCTGGGGAATAGATGTTTTCCAGAGATGGTCTTGATACAAAGATATTTGGCTTCAGACCGATGTCTGTATTGATGTGTCCTGTGGAGCTCAGTGAGGCTGGATAAGGTGAAGTTTGGTTGGTCGCTGTTCAGTGCGAAGTGTAGCCTGTGTTTTTTATTGAGCTATGAGGGATGAGAATGTCCTTTTTCTTCCTCCCTTCCACCTCAGTACAGCACTCCTTTCCAAAGAACTCACCTCCTTTTTTATAAGTCAAAGAGGTTTCAGTATCACAGTATATCTATGTATGTCAGGAATGATGAGTCACCTAGGATACACACTTAATTTTGTTTGTGGCTAAAGAGAATACTTGCAGCTCTTCTGGTTTATAATGAAGATGTTTTATTTTATGTTCAGTTTCTTTCATTTGCTGCCAGTAAGGAAATTGTATGTATGCCTAGATAACTCCTCAGATTGTAAGTGACTTACCAAGATGGTTTCAGGCTATTGCATTTAATGTTGTCAGTTTGAGAAGAGATTGCTAAAATATATCCTTGCTTTACTGAAAGTCTGCAAAAATCTAGATGTTTGTGGGCATTAGGATGTAGGCGAAGTGCTTACCTTGAGTAATTTAGGACAAGTCACCCATGGAAAGAGGTCAGTTTATCATACACATCTATGCTCATCTACAGTTGCCATTGCTTATGTCAGCCAGCAGAGCACCTTGATAAATGAAGCCTGTTTCTTGAGTCTGAACAGTTTAACTGAATTTTTACAAGAGTCACGTATCTTAAAAGGAAATGCGGAATTTATCTTCTGCATGAGCGCTGTACATTTGCTACTGTGCCAGCTTTCTTTTCTTTTCTACTAAAGACTTCTGCGTCACGTTATCATGCTTTCTGTAACATTTCATTCCTAGACTTCAGAGACCAGGCTGATTAAGGAAAATGCCTTGCATGGTTTGTATTTGCACATAATAGATTTGCTTATGTCACACCAAACATCACTTTGTCACACCGAACATCTTTCTTAGTTGCTTCTCTGCTGGTTCTGCAGGGTCATCCCCAACATCATCTCAGAATGCCACGCTGCCTTCATCGAGTGCCTGGCCGCTTAGTGCCTCCGGCTACAGTAGCTCTTTCAGCAGCATTGCATCCGCACCTAGCATTGCAGGTACGAAAAATGGCCTTTCTACTTTCACATCCTTCTGTGTTCTGAGAAAAAGGCCCTAGAAAGTGCTCTCCTACAGTCTTGCTACTATAGACAGAAGCGTATTTTTTAGTACTGTGCTAGGTAGATGGCTCTCCTGGCAGACAGCTCTTCGGTGGTGCGCGCTGGATGATGTGCCTGGAATTGTGCTGAGGAGAAATGTATTTATTCCACTTGCTGCCACATGCTGTCTCTCTGTATTGGCATCAGGATCTCTTTGTGACTACTTCCATTGCCACTTTGAGGAGGAATATTCTGTTGTCTCTGACCCCAGTAGAGCGAGCCTTACTAGACCCTTCCAGTAAGAGCTGATATGAAATGTTTGTTGATAAACTCACTGTTAAAAGTGAACCATCTTCAGCTCAGCAAAAAGTTTAGTAGTACCTCAAGGAGGTACTGTGCATGGCTGTGGAGGGGTTGGGTTCGGGGCTCTTACATGTCTTTTTAATAGCCAGTCCAAAGACTGATGCGCCCCTGAGCTCATAGATGGTCTAAGTAATTGCCCCATTTTTTTAACGAGCTATAAATTCTTGAGCATCTATCTTCTCAAATCATGGAATCTTTGCTTGCAAACTGGCTATCTAAATACCCAGTTTATCTCGTTATAAAAGTGTGTTGGGACTGTCGTATGGATTCTGTTAGCATTTTCCTACCTAACCAGTGCAAACCCTCCCCTTTGAATAAATGAAGCTGCAGCCTCCAGGTTTGCAGAACACCCACCGAAAAGGGTCTGTTTGAAATGTTTTACTTGTCCAGTGAAAGCGAAAGGAAGGAGGCTTGTTTGTCTTTTCTCTGCCATGCTTTTCTGCTTTGTTTTTGTTTTTCTCCCATGTCATCTTATCTTTGTTAACCCCGTGAGTAGTGACATAGCAACATCTAATCTGTGGTCACGTGCACGTGCCACGTGCTGCATCGCAGGCTGAGCTGCTCTGAGTTCTAGAAATCAGACCCTCCCATTTCCCCCCACCGTTTTACCCTTGTTAATGTCTTCATCATCATTGTCAAATTATTTCTTGCTACTGTTTGCAGGAGGATGAGAGAGTGGTTGCCCTTTCACTTAAATTGCTATGATTCAGTATAAAATCTTTGAGTTAAATGATAAATAGAGACAATCTGGGGAGTGTGCATGTGTATGTAACTGAAGCTGTGATTTGGTGGCTAGTAAATATGATTTTAGGACTACTCGGTGGCTGCGTGATGAAAAGCATTGATTCAGTATAAACATAATCTGCCTGGTCAAATCTGGTTTTAAAGAAGTTTACAAGATTTTTGCATCGTGGCCTTTGTCAGACCAAGTATTTTCTTACTGTCTGCCATCAACCTGAAAGCATTGAGGCAGCATAACCACAGTACCATTTGCTGTGGCAGAAGATGGAGTGATGTGACCGTTACAGCCCATTCCAGTCAGACGTGGGCTGGTACTGGTGGGACTGTGCTAGGACAAGGAGATTGGACTCTAATTTCACAGCATATGGTGGTACAAGGAAGAAAGGCAGGGATTTTTAAGTCTGAAGGTGAATAAAGGGTTTTGGTTTGGTATCTGTAATATGAATCAGTTTTGTCTGCCACGCTGAACTGTATTTGTCATTCTTGGTTTTTTGTATTATTTTATAAAACTCTCATTCGGCAGGAACAGCAGTAAGATAGTGTAAAAACTGATCAGGGGAAAAAAACAAACAGTAAAAAGTTAGTGTGACAGGTTGTAGTATGTTCTAATCTACTGAAGACTTTGCTTTTCTCCAAGACACTTGTAAAAAAGAATATCTGTTACCTTGAGTATTCAGAAATACAGTTTTCATTGGTCTTTGATCTTTGGAATTCTAATAATATGTCAGAAGAACATATGGATATACTGCTCACTTGTTATTGGATAAAATGAGTCGCGTAAGAAAAAGTGATTTAGTCCTATTAAACCTTTGAGAGAGACAGTCTTGAAGTGTTTCATTTTAACTGATGAAACTAGGTTTTGAATACTTAAGTCCATTTTCTGGTCTTTTTTTTCATGTATCATCTTTTACAAGAAAGCAAAATAGTAGGAGATTTTAAAAAGGGAACTGTGTGTGTAGCAGGTGTTGTAAGATTCATGAAACACAAAATTATTTGAAAACGTAAAGACTCGTGTAAATAGGTTCAGAGGATACAGGTTTGGTATCAGTGGATGATACAGAGCCTATCGTTTTCTCTCCTGAAAAGAATATAGTCGGTGGGGAAGCTTGCTCATTACCCATCGTACTTGGATTAACAGTTGTTGCGAACTAAAAATACACAAACGCATTCTTTTTCTATCGCAGGTAAACTGTCAGACATCAAGTCTACGTGGTCCTCTGGCCCAATCTCTCACACGCAAGCCTCTCTATCCCATGAACTATGGAAGGTACCCAGAAACACTACTGCTCCGACGAGACCACCTCCAGGCTTGACTAACACCAAGCCATCATCTACGTGGGGTGCCAGTCCCCTGGGTTGGACCAGCTCCTACTCCTCTGGTACTCTTGACCTCTGTGTTTTATAACATCACAGTCCCTTCTTCTGAGAAGTGCTTGTTTTTATTCTGTGTGACAGTAGTGAGGCACCCCATAGCTCTGTATTCAGCTCCAGAAACTTGAGATACCAAGTACATATACCAGTAAATATCTAAATATACCGCTTAAAGATGCCAGTGAAGTGTGTGTTTTGGTTATGAAGCTCATGGCTGTTTATTTTAGATGGGATAAGCTGTAAAAATGAAGCTGCCCTCTTTCAGGTGTCCATATGAGTAATTCTGCAAAGGAACTGCCAAATAATTTCACTCCAACTGGGATTTTTTTTCCATTTCCTTAATTTCTAAAACTAAATTTTAAACACGTTTCTCGTTTTGTGGTATGATCTGTGGCTGTCTGCGAGGCTTCAAGATGAGTGGATTGGCCCATGGGATTTAATACGGAACATGTTTTTTGGAGAGTGGATGTGAAGCGTTTAGGACCTGATGGAATGTCAGGGGCCTCAGGGAATGACTTCGTTTTTTTTCATGGAGACTCTTTTTAGATGCCGTTGTTGTGCTTCAGTACAAATACGACAAACGATGGATGTGGCTATATAAATATGTATTTATCATGTTTGTGAAGTGGTGTCAGCTTTAAAAGTGTTACAGCTATTAGTAAAGCTGACTGTTTTGTTAACCTGCTTTCACTATGTTGGGAATTACATGTTCTTCCCTCTTTTTGCCATTTCTTTTGTGTTAATTTTCTTCGGCAAAACCCCACCTGGTGGGCAGATGCTGCTGGTGCCAGGATTCTCTCTGGAGCCTGAGTGTGGTCACGCATGTGCCTGCAGAAGTGCTGCGGTTTCTCGAATGCCACTCCTAAATGTCAAGCTTGTACAGTTTCTCGTTGTAAAACACCAGGCTGAAATTGGAGAAGCAGGTTTTGTGGATTATGGCCTGGTGTCTTCAATCAGGACATTGTCAGGGCAGAAATACCTGTTTTGAATCTGTCACTGGCAAGATGCTGCAGTGCTGTAGAAATGGTTCATAACAACAGCGATGGGAGCTCGGACATCTGAATGGCTTTTAAAATGTGTCTTCCAGATTAATTCTGATGTAACCCAGAGATAGAGTTTGTGTCATACCTGCACCCGCTAGTTTTCTAATAGTTACTGTGGGAATGTGAAAGACAGCACAGATCTTTTAAATGCAACAAAAGCAGGGTTTCGTTCAGCAACCTGTCGTTCTGAGAAGGCAATAAATCAAGATGTGAGGAGACTGCTGGAGGATTTGTTTCCGGTAGCAGTAATGCTTGCTGATATGTTGTGATTCCAGAGAAGTTTTCTTCTTGTAGTATGCTCACCATGTCGTGATCAAGCGTTCTGTTGTGGTGTTTGTGTTGTAGGCTCTGCATGGAGTACTGACAGCTCAGGGAGAACAAGCAGCTGGCTGGTTCTTCGAAACCTCACACCCCAGGTAAATGGAGCTGTATGTAACTAGCTGTGAAAAGAGACTTGTCACACTGGAGATAAGAACATTTATCAACCGTGGTCATTTGGCTCATGTGAAGGGAAAATAATTGCGCTGCATTTATTACAAGTGTCTGTCTTCTACAGGGAATTTGTTACGATTTCGAAGTGCCGTCAAAGGGCTTTTAAGTCTGTAATTAGTCATTCAGGGTGCACCATTTATGCATGTATAAGTTTGGAGGTGAATGATGTTTTAAAGCAGATACAGAGATGTAAAATCTGCTGTCCTTACGGAGTTTTTTTGGGTTCTTCTCCTAAGTCTGTCAGATCCTCTAGTCCTCCATTTGGTGTCATTCACAAGGAAGAACCTAAAACCACAAAGCCTTGAATGTAGACATCTAAATTAATCTTGGGGAAAATTTAGTTTAGGAACAGTGTGCTTTTCCTTTGACTTATTTATGGACTTGTATGTACTTCTAATGATAATATAATTTATATCACCAAAATCAGGAAATACTGTGCAGTAGACTGTAGAGGTCTTAAGAAGACAGGAAATCTCACTCAATGAAGACAGTGATAAGTCTATAATTAAATTGTTCTTATGGAAGAAAAACTTCTTTTTTTCTTTAGCTTTTAAAACTTGTTTAGTTAACAAGGATTTAAAGTAAAATCACAAAAATACAGATAACCTTTCTCTCTTAACAGATTGATGGTTCTACACTGCGGACACTGTGCTTGCAACATGGCCCTCTAATAACATTCCACTTGAACCTGACGCAAGGGAATGCTGTGGTCCGATACAGTTCTAAGGAAGAAGCAGCCAAGGCCCAAAAGTCTCTGCATATGTACGTTTCTCCTCTCTTTCCTTTGTTTTGAAGCCACTTTTATCTCAGAAACTGTTTTCTTAGGCATTTATTTGCTAGGACCTGGAACCGATTACTAGTTAGTTTAACCCGATTTTGGAAACTACCTAATGAGAGTTAGAAGAAATTACTGGGGGCTAGATACTCATATACTACTGAATAAGAGGTCATTACCAAACTTGATAATAGGTATTCACCTTTGATAATGTGCTGAGTAAGGATTTGTTGCCGAGAAGGCAGAGAATTTGTAGGATGTGGTAAGAATTCCAGAGGATGCCCAGAGTGTGAGGCAAGGTTTTAGCTTAGACAGCAACAGAAAGGACAAAACGGTAATAAATGAAGAATGTGTTCATGGTTGTTGCCTTTTCTAAAGGAGTTATGAAAGCTTGAAGAAATGTATGACAACAAAATGTGATTTTTAGATGTTACGAAATCCACGGGACTAATTGGCATAGTATGCAGGAATTTGAGTGATAAAATACATGACACAAGGGAGGGTTAGAAACACAGAGACTTTGGTGCTTAGAGTTGGAAAGCAGTCTTCTTTATCAATAGGCTGTAACATGAGTCTGATTTAAAATACAGATGATAGCAGAAACACCGTTTGGAGCTAGCTGTACTGCTGGCTTAATTACCTTCCCTGTGAGAGAGCAAATTCTATTAATGACTGTGGTGCTTTTTCAACTGTTGACCATTCTTTAATTAAATGTTACAAAGCAGCATTCAGAACAATTGGAGATGAAGAGTGGACCCATCTTAGTTAACATCACTTTGGATGTGGGCATCAGGTAAAGGTAATGATGCCAAAGACAAAAGTAATATGTGAGCTTAAAGATAAGTTCTTATTTTAAATATGTATATGGCAGTGTCCTTCCACCAGCAGTGATCTGGAAGGCCTTTGCTTAAACAGTTTTTCTAACAGGTGGTGGCTGCGAGGATGGGACAGCCCTTTCTGAATGAGAAGGGTTGGGCTCTGTATGTGTTTGGTTTGCTGGTGGGGTGACAACAGTAAAATACAGTGGGATTTGTGGAAGCCAACAGGACAGTATCAGAGTTCCAAGAGATAGCAGCCACTATCTGTTTCACAGATAAATGTTGACATGGAGTTGATCACTGGAAAATTCATCACAGAGCCAGCAGTCTCGGATCCCGTCTGATTTGATGTGGGAATAGCATTAGACACAGAGGACTGTACGTTGAAGAGTTAATGTTAAACACTGTGATGGGATAAGACGTGTAAAAGCAGGAAAGCACACTTGTTTGTTACATGTGAAAAAAGGATTCTCTGATCTTGCAGAGGCTCTAAGTTGTCTGAGAATATTTTTAGAAGGAAGAGGAATTACACACTGGAGGGTCCCGAGCTTGCTTTGCTACATTATGTGGTGCATTGTTGGATCTATATTTTGTATCCCATATTTTTAGTAAAGCAAAGTGCTGTAATTACTACGGGTCCCTGTGCCCAGCGCTCAGAAATAATAAAAGCTACAACACTGATGCAAAAGTAAGAGTGAGGAGAGGAGGCAGTGTTGCCAGGTACTTGCTGTAACTAAAAACTTACTGTTGAGCATGATGGCTGTAGGCATCCTGAGGTGCAAGGTGTCTTTCATTCTGCTGGTAGTTCTGGCAGATTTAAAAAAAAAAACGACTTAAGTACTGTATATTCTGGGGGGACAAATTAATGTGAAGAGAACATGGTTTGAAAATGCCTTATAATAAATTTGTCTTATGGGTGTGATTTGTTACTGATAAAGCTAGTGTCTTTATGTCTAACTAGAGTACAGCCTTCCATGATCCTAGAATGGTTTGGGTTGGAAGGGACCTTAAAGATCATCTCATTCCACCCCCCCTGCCATGGGCAGGGACACCTTCCACTAGACCAGGTTGCTCCAAGCCTCATCCAGCCTGGCCTTGGACACTTCCAGGGATGGGGCATCCACAGCTTCTCTGGACAACCTGTCCCAGTGCCTCCCCACCCTCTGTGGGAAGAACTTCTTCCTGATATCCAATCTAAACCTCCCTGCTTTTAATTTAAACCCGTTACCCCTTGTCCTGTCCCTACAGGCCCTTGTAAAAAGCCCCCCCCAGCTTCCTTGTAGCCCCCCCAGGCACTGGAAGGTGCTATAAGGTCTCCCCGGCGCCTTCTCTTCTCCAGGCTGAACACCCCAACTCTCAGCCTGTCCCCATGGCAGAGGGGCTCCAGCCCTCTGATCATCTTCATGGCCTCCTCTGGACTTGCTCCAACCAGTCAATATCCTTCTGATGCTGAGGGCGCCACAGCTGGACGCAGCACTCCAGGTGGGGTCTCACAAGAGCAGAGCAGAGGGGCAGAATCACCTCCCGCATGCATGTTCGTTCAGTGAGGTGGTCTGCACACACAGGTCTTTGAGGGTTGCCCTGTGTGTGTAGAAAGGTAAATAGAAAATAGGACAGGGAAGTCTGCCTAGGAGAATGGGTTGCTAAAAGTGAGCAGATGTGGCCTAACTCTACACCTGGAATTCAGCCTGGGGGAACATGTATTTATAACCACCCTGGATATTTCCAAAAGTGCCCTTTGCACCCTTTGTTTCACATCGCTGCACCTTTTGGTTTTGCCCTCAGGTGTGTCCTGGGAAACACTACCATCCTGGCCGAGTTCGCTGGAGAAGAAGAAGTCAACCGTTTCTTAGCACAAGGCCAGCCACTGCCGCCCACCTCCAGCTGGCAGTCCAACACTGGAACCAACCAGACTCGCCTGGGCTCCTCCAGCAGCTCCCACGGCTTGGTGCGCAACGACGCCGGCCACTGGAACACTCCCTGCCTGGGGGGCAAGGGGAGCAGCGACCTGCTGTGGGGTGGGGTGCCTCAGTACTCCAGCAGCCTTTGGGGACCCCCGAGCACCGACGACGGCAGAGTTATCGGAAGCCCGACACCTTTGAATACTCTTCTTCCGGGTGATCTTCTCAGTGGGGAGTCCATCTAGGAAACAAGAGAAACAAAATGGAAATAACAATCATCAGCACTAAAGGAAAAATAAAAATCGTAACCCTTTCCAGTCCCGGGCATGATGAAGAATCCAGCTTTAACAGATCAGACTGGCAGCCCTTTTTAGTACCTCTGTCCAATATCAAATATGAAACTGCAGAAGTCCTTGGGAACTGTTCATGAAACAGTATGGGCTACTTTGGTCAGTGTCACGTGCTAATGACAGGTTTTGGTTTTTTCATGGCTCTTTGTTTTATGTTGTCTTTTTATGTTTGTATGGTGATTTTAAAAACCAAGTGTAAAAGCTGCTTAGAATAGGTCTATCATGAAGGGCACTTTTCAGAATTTGGGCTGGAAAGGGTTATTTTA